TAAAACCCCCTGGGACACATTTTAATTTGTCTTTATAAAATAAACATGAGCTGACTTAGAACACATTGTCCCAGTTATTTAATTAGATCCTCTACAGTCAGTTCCCAGTGATTGTGTCGGTTGTCTGCTTGTTCTGAATAAGCGTGGACTGGATTTGTGTCTTGAGAGCAGTTTTACAATGACTCCAAGTGAATCACAAGCAGAAAATGTTACCAAAACTAAAACCTGACTGCTGTTTTTCTGGACGTTACAGTTTGATAATTCAGTCCTGTTTCATGGGCATTCTCCTCACTGTGGAGGTGCAGCCACTGGCCTGCGTGTGTGTATGTTTGCGTCTGCCTCTTGGTGGACTCCCCCATTAAACTGGCTCAGATCATTAGAGAGATGACCCTGGAGATGCACACACTCAGGTAGAACTCCAGGGGGAATGCACACTTCTGGGAACGGACGGTGCAGAACAACACACACACACAAACGGTTTTCTAATATGATTCTCTCAGCAGCACTCGCCACACAGTAGATGGCTCATTCGTACAGCGCGAAGCTCAGTGTTTGTGAGGTTTTCTACGCACCAAACTCAACACACACAAGCACACAGCTGCTGGGGAGTGTTGCTCAGTTAGTTTTGTTATTACAGACCAGCTGTCTGCCCAATTTTTTACAGTCAGGAACATCTGTGTGCAGCCCCGTCCTGTCACCCCACCTCTCTCTGTCTCTCCCTCTGTTAGCCCACACACCCTATGTATGTTCCATTATTAAGTGCCTTTCAATGTGATAGGTAACACAAATATAACTTCAGGGGGAAAAAATGTCACTGAGGTGAATTCATAACATAAGAGCACCTGTCAGCAGTCCTGTGTGTGTGTGTGTGTGTGTGTGTGTGTGTGTAAGCGGTTGTTGTTTTTATGCCATTAGAACCATTTCTCTCTCTCTCTCTCGCTCACTCACACACACACACACTGTGCATCTTTCAGTTTTTCTTATTTTTACAGTATGTATATGTTTTCCTTCTCTGTGTGTGTGTGTGTGTGTGTGTGTGTGTGTGTGTACAGTAGTTTTCTAGGCTATTAGGCTGCTCACTGACGTATACAGTGCAGTGCTATTAGTGGGCCAAAGATAAGCTTGGGGGATTGCTGTGCCACGGGGCCCTTTGCAGGAGCAATGATAATACCTTTCTCTCAGCCTCTGTATGTGGGTGTGTGAGGGAATGTGTACTGTACATACAACTTCCTATTGGGTGCATGTGGGCTGTTTTGTGTGTCTGTGTAACTTTGTACCCGTAATTGTAGCATGAAAGAACTTTGACATTTTGGTTCATGGTTTGTATGTCTCTGTTTATACAATGGGTACAGAAAGTATTCAGACCCCCTTAAATTTTTCACTCTTTGTTATATTGCAGCCATATGCTAAAATCATTTAAGTTCTTTTTTTTTTCCTCATTAATGTACACACAGCACCCCATATTGACAGAAAAACACAGAATGTTTGACGTTTTAGCAGATTTATTAAAAAAGAAAAACTGAAATATCACATGGTCATAAGTATTCAGACCCTTTGCTGTGACACTCATATATTTAACTTAGGTGCTGTCCATTTCTTCTGATCATCCCAGAGATGGTTCTACACCTTCATTTGAGTCCAGCTGTGTTTGATTATACTGATTGACCGTGATTAGGAAAGCCACCCACCTGTCTATATAAGACCCTACAGCTCACAGTGCACGTCAGAGCAAATGAGAATCATGAGGTCAAAGGAACTGCCTGAAGAGCTCAGAGACAGAATTGTGGCAAAGCACAGATCTGGCCAAGGTTACAAAAAAATTCTGCTGCACTTAAGGTTCCTAAGAGCACAGGGGCCTCCATAATCCTTAAATGGAAGACGTTTGGGACGACCACAGCCCTTCCTAGAGCTGGCCGTCCGG